TGAGCCCTACAAAACGATATAGGTCTCATTCCGAAAGGCGGGGGTAAGTTCGTGAGGTTTCTCGTTAATCATGAAATAAATGGCTATGCAACAATTCCTTGCTCAGACTCTTCGAGAATTATTCTCAATGAAAATGGAACAAATAGTAACGACTGATCGTGAGTAAAGCAAATCTATAAATACCCGAGCAGTAAAGCAGATTGGTGTACACTGTCATCGGTCACATCCGATAGATCATCATCATCACGCGACAAATTTTTGGTATTATTACTGTTAATCTTGTTGTTATTACTATTATGAGACTGATTTAACCAAAGTGATTCTGTTAGAAAGCAACTGTTAAACGTTTGTATGGGACATGTTTCCGCTTCCCGACTGACTTTATTCATTAATATTCTGAAATTAACATTTCAATAATGGCAATAAATATGGTGATTAAGATTATTCCTGCAATAATTAGAATTGCTGCAAACCTGACAATAATACAACTGAAACTATTCGAAACATTCCACCTGGATACACTGTTAAATAATAACTGATAAAATAAATGATCACTTATCGCAGAGAAAAGCAACAAAATCGTAAAAAGCCAACCTGTGAAAAGGCGATAAATTAGGTGAAGAGATCCATTGAGAATCAAAATAAGCGACCGTAAACCCGTTTTGCAAAATTATTGAACACATCACATTCAAATAAAGATATCTGTTACAACAAAAATTGATTTAGGTTGATAAATTTGAGTAAAGAAAGTTGATTTCTGCATCGCATTAAATCGAGATTACAAAGCATTGCATTAGGAATGTCATGTTTGGAAAATCAAAAAATGTCATTTTTTGATCAATCAAAAACATGAAACATTAATGACATTAATTTCTTAATCACCGACCCAATACTAATCACAAATCACACCAGATCATTTCCTCCTATTTGGATATAAAGAATCAATTGTATGAAAGAGTTGGACTCTCACAATGAAAATACTAAATCGAAGAGTCGATGAACGTTTGCAATGAAGTAGAAATGAATAACTAACACCAAATGATGACGAATATGATGCGATATCATTATAGCAAAACTGATTAATCCCGCAACCAGGATATATGAACGTAATGCGATGCAAGATTGAACGATTCCAATTCACTGTGAAAAGATAAAGTGATTATTCAGCAGATGAATATCGCACCACAAAACCTGCAAAAGGCAGTTACTTTCTGTACTATCAATGATAACTGACAATGCAATCATGAACTCCATTATACAAAATATGTCTAAAAATGAACAAAATTCGAACTGTCCTCATACTCATCGAATTAACATTAATTTCGAATTTCCTTAGATAATATTAGTGTGTACACAAAATTCAACAAATACCTACATAAAATTAGTATCTTGAAATAAATGTTAATAAACCATATTCAGCGGTTTAATAGGGACATTTCTAAAGGATCACCTACAACAATGGTATAGTCCTTTCAACCAGATCATCTACTTTGAGCGATTAAAAAACATTTTTGATATCATTATATACCGGTCTACGACAATAATGAATGTAATCGAAAAAGCGCTAAATTATGCGCAAAAGCGACGGTATTAATTTTTTGTCTGGAATGTCACTACAACGAACGTCATCAAAGCTGACTAGCAGAACCTCATGAATAATTCATAGAAAGAGAGCAAAATTCACTAGACGAATAAAACCGACACCAAAACTAACAAGCGTATAAGTGATCGACTGGAATGGAATTTTGAAAGGCATAAGTAATGCAAGAATATAATGATTAAATGGAAAGATAATATTATTCACTGGAATAATACCGTTTTACTTACAAACAATATGTGAACCTGCTCGAAAACTTATTTATTCATCAAGAATAAATTAACAATTCCAGAATAAATAACGTAATTGATAAGTTTAACATTAACTGAACATCACATTCTCATGTAATATTTCCACTTGTTCAACACTTATTTTTGAAACAACTTAACGGAAATAACTAAATCTAGATCATATTGCAGAAGGTGCATTTAATTGATTTTCAGTGAATCGCTGGAACAGATAATTATGCGGTTCATTGTTGTGCATAACATTTTTGTGGTAGGAAAGGGAATATAAAATGATTTAGTGAGATAACTGATTGGAGACATTAAGGAATGACATATACAAATGACAGAAGATAATAAAAGTAAACGTTTGCTGACAGAAAGGAAGCGGTTGTATTTGAACCAATTAAAACAATGATACAATTGCTGAAGATAATAGAAAACAAGAGCACAATCTGGATTGAATAAAATAACAGCAGTGAATATAGCGATCAACTGTTGCAGCTGCTCATTCACGAAACAACCAAGTGTGGAGTAGCACATAATTCCTATCTGATCCTGTATCGGAATAAACAAAAACTGAACATATTAATCTTCACGAAGCGGTAAATAGACTTGTTTGATGGGTTTTTTATGTTCGGCAATAATTAAATGTATCTTATCGCCAGTGCATATTTCTCTTTCAGCTGACACACGGAATGCATCCTTCAGCAGAGAAGTTGCTCGTTCTATCGTCAACTTCGCTTTTTCGCAATCATCTGCCAATGTCACATGACCAACCTTAGAATTGACACTTATTTTATTAACTCACCACTATCTCTATTAGCATTATGAATATTCGCTGCATTGGTAAGACCGACAAACAATCAGTAAATTTCATCTACTTCGCAACAATGCAACGATTCTTTCGAAAGGACATGATGATTCGGTAACAACGAACTAAGCAGATAGAGTTCGTCTGAATGATGAAAGAGAGGCAAGATAAGAATACCTGACAATCAAGGAAAGGCATTATCATCGGTTCAGCACTTCCCGAAGCTGCATACTGAAGGCGTTCGATACAACCGATAGGATCATAACTAAACACTGCTCCTTTGCCTGAAACATAGAACAGTGAACAACTTACTGCACTTATTCGCAAACGAAATAATGATGTTCAAATAAGTGATGACGATAATGATAAAGTAAAATAAGAATAAGCGTAAATAACTAGCCGTTCTCATCAATACCAGCCAATATGGCACCAGTATAATAAGGGAAGAAACGTCGATAATAAAGGTTACGCGACAGTAATTCCGAACATAGATCGACTGTCATATCATCACGATAATCAAAACGATACTTGTGAAGACGACTCTAAAACTGGTTCTGTGAGAAGTTGCAAAGTCACAGAATGCGGTTAAAAACTAGTCGAATATGAGGATTAATTCCTAAATGTTCAGATAACGAAATTCTATGTAAACTTTGAAACGTATTCGCGGCAAGATAGGATTTGCTTTCTTGTGTACCAGAACATCTTGCTTACTAAACTACGAATGAGCGAAAGGATGCGAAAATGAAACGAAGTGAAAAAGTGTGTTTACACCTACATCGGCATTCACGACAAAAAACTTTTCACTTTACGCTGCTCGAATTTTTAAACAAATAAACAAAATCAAATGGTTTCACTTCAGTTATTTCAATTGTGCCATGTAATTGTTCCGTTTGGAATCAGTGTGAACTTATTTCGTTTTTTTTAACGAGGTAGGTGTTGAGTTTACGAACACAGTTCGTTTCGATAGTTTGTTCATAAACCGAATCCGGGTTTTCCGTAGTAAGCAATAAAAAATAAATTATTTGTTTTCAGCCTACCCTTTCGCTGGGGTATATTTATAGTGACGATAAAGAAAACCAACAATTTCACTGAGAAACTGTTCCTATGGTGATATGAAAAGTAATGAAACGACGTTTGATCGCAACTAAGGCTTAGCGAAATTTAGCGAAATCCCGAACAGTGCTTATAGAGATTGCCTCATAGTGCACCTTCAGTATTCAGTATTCTTGAAACTTTCTACCGGAACGTGTGAGTGTGATTCACTAATTTCTTATATCAACGATAAAGATTATGATGACAACTGATCATTAATCAGTTCCAGCTTTGAATTCTTTACAAAGGAGTCTCAACCTTTTCACGAACACAGGTTAAAAGAAGGAATGGAGCACTTGGAAGATGAATCGACGACCTTTAAGAGTTTGTATGATTTTACTAACTGCTGCTTGAATTTAACGTGAATATCGCTGAAAGTTAGTGATCAAATGGAATCGAAAAACTCGCCTCGAGAAGACGTTTCAGTTGAAGTATATCTCCATAAAAACCAGCGCAAGCCAAAATTATTGAGTCGTTCCTAAAAGATAAAAACGAATCGAAATAAAGATTCCAAGACACGATGTGAATGAATATTATTGAAAAAGAAGAAAAGTACATCGAGCGTTTTCAAATATGGTTTCAGAAACGCGTAGAATACTTCACTAGTTTTTAGTAAGTGAATTCGCTTTTACTTATGCTTCAATCTTCACTTCTATTAAATATTTAAAAAACTAGTATTTCACTAAAACGATATTGGAAGAAAATAGCGGAACTTATGGCTACTTTATGCCGCTAAAAAGATCACTGCAGCGGAAGCTATCGCCACAAATTTCAGCTGTATGAAGAAAGTAGCGATCTGTTGCACAACCGAAAAAGTAACTCCGCTAGCGGCGGAATGGTGCTATTATCCATTAGTAATAGAAGCATTCACTTGCTTTAAATTTCTGAAGCACCATTATCAGAAACCACCACAAAAAAACAAAGAATCAAGTAAATGATTTTCAGTTATTAGAACTGACACAATTTTAAATCAAGCAACCAGTGAAAGGCACTCACAAAATATGAATTTTTTCGGCATCTCTCGAAAGAATGTTGACTTCAAATTGAGACATTCTTGTATCACTCGCAATTATCGCAAAATTGTCACCAGCTATTGCGGCTGTACTCCTGAACAAATCAATTCAAGTATTATTCATTATTGAAAATCCTCATTTTCATTCATTGAAACATCCCATTGTATTCATTGTTCTCTCACGAACATGATGAATACTACTTCTCACTTTATCATTTTCATATGCGCTTTATAAATGGCACACTATGAAGCACTTGAATAATCATCAAATTGACCACAACGATGAAATAGACAACAACTAAAATTATTGCATTCTTAACGATAACGATAACCGTACCCTCCTTCGAAACTGTACGGATTCCACTGCGATGCTTCCTTGTGACGTGCTCTCATCCACGGAGGTGATGTGCGAACTTTGTTCATCGCATTTTTGAACGTTAACATGGTTTGTCCAGAACCATTCAATGCATCCTCCATCTCCATTTTGAACGCCTCAATAAATACAATCAAACATAGGTGAACAGAACGAACGAATCGCTTCAAATAAATTGTCAGCAATCATATCTGCGAGATATTCTTGGAAAATTTCAATTACTGCAGCGAGGATATATTAAGAGAGGAAATGAAGGCTTCGCCCACATATTTTGTTTCCACATATATTCGGCCCTCCAAAATCTCGTCACTCATCATTTCAACGAATAGATTATGAGAATTTTTACTCATTCGAATTTCGCCTTGCCGTCATGCCTCCTTCAGGAATCTCCACAAATCAATTGTATGGCTATGGTGTGTGGATGTAATTAAATCAAGTTACATTCTAAATTAGAAGCAAAAGATGATTGCACCCTGTATTGCTACTTTCTGCACCCACTGTTAAGCAAGACGTTTAGTGGCGTGCAAGTGTGCATGCACAAGAGAACCTTATAAGAATTTATATCATGTTACACGGTGAAATGCACAGGCAAACCCGCGAAGGCACATAAAATTTAATGTGTGATGCGATGAAAAATCAGATGCACAGTTTTTTTCATTGTCATCATCTCATCAAATGCCAATTACTAAGAATGTTCAATCGTTTCAAAGCGTACAATCGAAAATAACAGCTTGAAAGCAACTATTGAAAGCCGAATGGAACTTTAGCGATTGAAATCTGCAAAATTTTCTAATAGGAAATTGAAGTCATTCCAATTCCAAAATGAAGTAAATCGACAAATTATCGTAGTATTAGAAATTAAGAACAAACTAATCAGCACAACACATTTTTGTATGGAAAGAATGAATTTCAGCTTGTTATGTGCCTGGGTCATATTTATTTTCTGTTAAGTATCATAGAGCACGAATTTCTCTTTTCAAACGTTTCACGGTATCATCCCTCATAGTCATATCTCTTTAACTGCAAACAACGATGTGAAAGTTCGTCGAAAAAATGAGGTTGACAGTCGCACCATCTGTACACTCACTTAATCCACCGAAGCAAAAAATGAAGTTAAGACATGACTTAATAGTAATTAATACGTCGGGAATGCGGATTAGTTTCTGCTTTTCGTCACAACTCGTACTGGTCGCAAAATGGGTTCGTGTCCAGGTTCCTGACGGGGACCACGTTCCTAAACAATTCCGCCATTCCACTTTTTTGTCGGGATGCCTTCTCCCGGTCAAAAAGTTGCTCCCCGACGAACCCTAGACATACCAGTCAATTCAACTGAAGTAGGATCATTCGCGACCGCTTTGCGTTTACAGGAAACGGACATGTAGCATTTTGTCAACGGTTGTTGGAAATTAATATCTGAATCATGATGTGAATATATGTGATGTCGATAATCGGACTGGAATATGACAATGAAACGAATTCGGGTTTACGTTTAGGGTCTGGCTTAAATGAAATTACAAATATCAATTCAACTTGGCAAACTTAAATCCTTTGAGAAGAGTTTTGTTTTCAATTTCGGAAGTTTTTCTTATTTATAAGGCGCGTATCGGTAATAGGTGAATCAAAACAGTGAGTTTATGTTGTTGATAACATATTAAGTGCACAATTAGAGTTACTACGATGATGTCCGACGTTTCGGCGTTATGCCATCTTCAGTAAGTCATTCAGAAAGATGTTCCTGAAGATGGCATAACGCAGAAACGTTGAACATCATCGTAATATCTTCAAGCGCAGCCAATATTTTGTCAACAAAAGTAACTCACCTTTCTCATGGAACCCAACCTCATTACATTTGCTCTTTGTTTGCTTTCTTTTCATTTTGTTATCATGTGGCATTGGCTAGCTAATACCTAATTCAAAATAAATTATGTTGAGGGGAATAGCTCAGTATGATGTTCACCGCTGAATACTACTACTATAGACAAAAGCCTTGTCGCGACTAGCGCGAAAAGCTAGCATAGAATGATGATAGTACTAAAGGAGATAGTACTTGAATCAAATATGAAACATCTTGCAATGGGCCGACAGTTTACTGGTATGCACGATGGGCTTTAAGGATCCGATCTATTGAAAGGGCGTGAGTGCGATTCCGCGTCGGTCTAAAATCTTTGGCAAAAAGTTTGACCTCTTTGAGGTTTGATCTCAAAGAGATAAACACACAAGAATATCTCAATTCAAGAGATATTCACAAAAAAGGGCTTACATTCGACAAGCCTTAATTTAGAAAAAAAGAAGTGACTAATCAATCGGTTTTGAATATTTATGCCATAAATTTTGTTTGCATAACTTAAGTGAGCGATTGATCAGATATTATCATATGCGATTGAAGAATATAATCCTCATAGTAGGAGCAGCATTTTCGTGTCATATAAACAACGCTTGAGCGTGACATGAATCACTACATATGGAAAAGGAATGGTTCTATCAATTGTGTCCATGTCAACAAATTCTTTAATTTTCACATTTAAGAAATAAACATGAATACGTGAACATAAATAAATCGATGTTAAAAAGGACAACCATGAATGACACAAAATTGAACAATTATTACAAATGAAAAATCTCCAAATACCTTCACAATAAAACTTAAAATACAACCAACAAATGTTTTATTAATTTTCAAATTTAAGAGAGGTTCGAATATGAGGAACAATGCGGAATGTGTATCCAAGAAGCAAGAACATTTGGAATTTACAATAATCATTAATGAATGTTACAAAGTAAATGTTCCTCCGTTAATAACAAGAGAATATTCCCTTCTAAAGAAGCATGATATCAGCGAAATGAAACTATTGGCAAATCACCGCTGATCAATATTTCCTAATACTTCCAACCTGAATATTTAATGTTGCTGTCTCATCACAGTTCAGTAGCTTGTTTGATACCACCGACGAATTTTCGTTTGATACCACGAAAAGCAAACCTCCTAACCAATTTCTCAGTTTTGTTCTGATTTGTCGTTAACATACAATAGTTGTTTCAGAAAAGAGGAGAAACGGAACTATGTTCCCGGGAACCGCTGCATGGGGAAATGACATTCTGCAAAACGGTTCAATACAGGTATGAAGTTAAAGAACGTGTAAACCCTAGCTGAATAATGAAATAGTCTCGGATAACACTAACAGTAGTCAGAAATAGATTCAATAAACATGCAAATATCACCAAAATAGTTCAACCAATTAAACATACATATAATAGATTATACATCTTCAGATACTTCAACAATATATAAAAGGTGAGTTCAATCGAATACAATAACGGTATTCAAGATATTTTATGGCGATGAAATATAAACACTGAACTGGAGAGGAGGAGGAAATTTTATAGGAAATCATCAATGCTATCGAGAGATTGCTGAACTAAAGCTGAGCACAACCGATGACAACAATTCGAACACAATTCACATTTGCATTCCGAGCAAAATCCCTGCAACAAGAGTCGTTGGAAAAGCGATTAAAAAATAAATATTGTTCGACGTTAATTGGACCATTAACATCGAAATCATTGATAAGATCACTTCATGGAACGATTGCCTTTCACAAATGAAAAAAAGTTAAACGTTTTGATCATGATTCTGCTATAAAGAACAAAATAACGGCAACTTACCAAGTTCGAGAAAAACGGTACGGAATTAAAACACAGTGTACAATACAGTCCTGGTGCTCCTGATTTATCCATTGTAACGTTATGCTTGAAAAAATTATGTCTGAAACGAATATTCAGCTTCTGCAACTTTAGAGCCTTAAAATTATTTAAATTCGATGCTTTTTCTTATTTATGTTGGGAGCGTTTTTTCTTTTGCCGAAAACTGTACTCGGTACAATAGAAATTTCGCCTAAAGCGAAATTCAATTTGAATGTTTAGATAGTCACCATCAGCGGTTCTTGCAGGTAAAAAATACCCCAAAGAGGAAATTCGGTGGTGTTTAGCGAGGAACTGAAGGTGCCGAAAAATCACTGTTGATCGACTTTTCTGAAGAAACGAACAAAGCATCTCGAAAGGGAACGAACTTTCCAAAATTATGAACGATCATTTTATAAGTTGGCAAATTACAGGTTTCGTCATTGCTATTCAGTCTTTTGAACGGCTTGTGTAATATAACGAACAACAAATGCTGCTGAACATCAGAACTGAAATTTTATGTAAAATTGAAGAAACACTGCATTATAATGGTTCAGAATACCAATTTCATGTACCATTCATTCAAATCGTTTCCGTTACATTTTTTCAAGTTTTAGGATGCCAGCAGTGAACAGTACAATCAACATAGCCGCATACACATAGCATTGGGAAGAATTGTAACTACTTAGGTATGATAATCACTGTTTGAAACACTAGTACGTGCACGTTCTAGGGTAGCGGTTAGATCGATCGAAAAGTTCATTGTAGCGAATCTTTGAAATTATGGGGTGCGAAGATGATGAAATGAACCTGAAGGAATATTGATGCGTTGAATCGAGCATATGGATAAGAGACTGCAAAGTGCACTTGTTTAAATCCGGTTGAAAAGCAAACTGTTCGCAGATATTTTTGAGACCGTTTATGAGGAATTTATCGGCGAGCCGAGCAAGAATTGGAAACGAGAATTCTGTAATCACAATGTTTGTGGTTTAGTTATTTTTCTGTGTCAATTTAAATTAGATAAAAAGATGAATAAGATTAAAAGATGATAACAAACTAGACTCAAAGTTAGCATCCATCTAATCACGATGATGAGTTTTCATCTTGTTGGATTTTTTTTACACGATGGCATTCAATTATGAGCGAACGAAGTTGTCAGGTATTCAAATAATATTGAAAATGATACCATTGATGGGGTACGGATAAAGAGCATAGTAGGTCGGGCATATAGTCCTGAGAAGTACGATGAAATCGTCAATATTTTCATCAGTCATTATCACAGAATTTTGCATACATTCTCTGAACCGCCAATCAAGCAGCATCGCTTCGAAGACTGGTGAGGCCTGAATTGTTATTATAAGTCAATAAAATAACGTCATTCTGTAATATCAGCTAAAGGCAACTGTGAAAGGTTAAATTCATTTAAAACTGAGTTATTTTTGAACGATCATCTGGTAACTGCTGCACTCTATCCGTCATGACCGAATTGTCAAAAACACAATGTAGCTTGCGAGAAATAGTTTTCATCATGTCATTGAAAATCTTTGCACCAGTTGTCAAATTGAGTGATTTTTCTGGAAGAAGACTGGATCAATCGGACCTTGTTTGGATCGAATTCGCAGCAATTAGTTTGATCCAAATAAGCCGAATATTTCTGTAACCCTTTCACTCATATTCTGCTGAACTTACTGATTTTTTGGTTAGTTCCAATCGTCATCAAATACGTCAACTGACAAAAACGGAGAGATATCTAGTGCTGATGCTGTCAATCCCGGAAAATTCGTTCATGAATCATTCAATAATCAGACAGAACAAGAGAATTCCCATGTCAATCATGTGTTTGACAATGACAGAACAGGCCTCTATTATCACGTGAGAAGTAGTTAGATTAAATATTTGTGTGAATGCATAATTTAATGCGTACACATATTAAGAAAACATGCGAAATCAAGATAGTTAAAAAATATCGATTTTGCCTCACAGTCTGATGCTCATTCGAATGTTTATGAATAAAACGATTGTCAAAAAATGATTCATTCCACGAGGCTGAGGTGTTCACGTCACAAGTTGAGCAAAAAGCGTTAAAATCGAACCAGCCAAAGAAGCTATTTCAATGGTGGATAATCGCTGTGCTTTTTTTTCAACAGAAGACAGCTTGTTCTGAAAAGGACAAACTCATAACTGAAAACGTCAGCATAACGTCAACATACGTCAGCATAATTTTTCTTCCACAGAAGACAGCATAATTTTTCTTCTGCTCTATAGAACATGTGGATCAAGTTATAACACCTTACCCAAAGCAAGAGAATGTCCATGAGAAGAACGGACGATAACGAAGGCAAATCATTTCAAGAAGTTCGCATGAGTGAACCTCATAATCGTTATTCAATGGATTGTTGCATCATAAAATAGGATGCATGCCGAAACGCTGCCTAAACGATGAGAAGAAACACCGCTAACGATAGTGATTGAAGGACCACAGAACTGTGCCGAAGAACTATGGTCTTTGTTAGCTGATGTGAAGATGTATGATTCAATGAATGAAAGTAATGTGGAAGAATAGATGGTAATAGACGCATAAGCTGTTGACCACGAGATTGTCAATAACCATGTTTAGAAAGGCTTCACAATAAAGCTGAAGCAGAAGACGATTGAAACTAATTTTAAAAGGCAAATCACGGGCACTGTCAACGCGTTTAA